GAAGGTACTAAGGCTGCTTCTATCCAGTAAGTGAACATAGGGTTAGATCCTACCAACTTTCCCCCCACTCAAGCTCGCCCATTTCTCCTCCTTATTACAGCCCAGCTGGCTTTCGACCATGCAGGTCACATGACCCCCAGCAAAGCTTTCTTTGGCGGGGGTCAAAGGGGACTCCCTCCTCCCTTTTCACCAGTGCAAAAGCTGTTGGATCCAACCCCAATTTGGCTGCAGTTGCTGTGCACTAATGAACAAAGAAGGTGCTGTTGAAGAGGGCATGGGGTGGGGGAAAGTCTCTTGGGAGGGGAAATGTACCAAAATGTTCTTGGTTCGCTAATCGAATCTTCGTTGTATTTCCCAGGTCCCAAAACGATATCCTTGGGAACAACAATTGAGGCAAGAGGGCTGTTTTTAGGAATACTTTTTTAGAGAGAGAAGGAGATTGGATTTATACCCCGCCCTTCACTACCCGAAGGAGTCTCAGAAGGGCTTACAATCTCTTTTCCCTTCCCCTCTCCACAACAGACACCCTGTGAGGTAGGTTGAGCTGAGAGAGCACTTCCGAGAACTGCTCGTGAGAGAACAGCTCAGAGAGAACTTGTGACTGACCCAAGGCCACACCAGCAGCTGCATGTGGAGGAGTGGGGAATCAAACCCGGTTCTCCCAGAGTAGAGTCCACGCTCCCAACCACTACGCCAGCATTAAAAGGGAAAATTCAGATCTAATTATCAGATACAGATAATAGGGTCACATTATTAGCTGGAAATTTTGGGCAGCGGTAATAATTTGTAAAAGAGGATAATATACGGTTGTTTCAGTGTAACGCTGCTCTTGGCCAGTCTGCCATTAAAGCAATATCATTTAAGAAAGTAAAAAGGGAAGTCCAGGCTTCGAGCTACATTCCAATCCTAAGTAGAGCCCCACCCTTCTAAATCCATTAAAGTCAACGGTCTCAGAGAGGTGTAACTCCACTTAAGACTGCAGTGCTAAGCCAGTTTGGTGTGGTGGTTAAGAGTGCGGACTCTATCTGGGAGAACCCCACTCCTCCACTTGCAGTAGGTTAGTTGATCCCCCACTCCTCCACTTGCAGCTGCTGGATGACCTTGGGCAAGCCATAGTTCTGTCAGAGCTGTTCTCTTAAGAGCCGTTTCTGTCAAGTGCTCTCTCAGCCCCACCTTCCTCATAGGGCGTCTGTTGTGGGGAGGGGGAGGAAAAGGAGTTTGTAAGCCACTCTGAGACTCCTTCGGGTAGTGAAGGGCAGGGTATAAATCCAATCTCTTTTCTGCTTCTTCTTAACTTAGTAGTAAGCCCCACTGCTTTTTCAGGGGCCAACAAAGTTTCTTCCCATGGGAGAAAGCCCGGCTTTGCCCATTTCAATGGCTTGTAAGTGTGGAACAAACTGAAGATGGAATCGGGGATGTTCTCGTAGGAGACGCTTTTAAGAAGGGCAACCATGCCCCTTGGGCGCCATTTCCATGTGACAGGAAACCACGGCAAACTCTCCAAAACAAGAAGCTTTAAAAACAACAACCAAATAACTCCTCATGACCCACTGAACGTCATGCGTAAAGCCGTTGGAACATCGAAACACAGCTCTGACGTTCATCATACCGAGGGACCAAAGACATACTTAAAGCCAGTGGCTTAGCTGTATGTCCCGATTTCCTAAAACAAACCGTGTCAGGAGCAGCAATCATTTCTTGAAACGAAAAGAAGCAGGATTCAGTAAGAGTTCCGTTCTAACCTCTGGGCGGGACGGCGGTGCCAGCCATGAACAGATCTTTCCGCAGTGGAAAAATGCAACCTCTGTTGACTGGGTGGGATTTCAGAGCACAGATTCGAATTCGGTGACAACAATCCACACACCTAGCTTATTTTTTTCCTTGGCAAGAAGGAGCTGGGATTGAGGAGCTACCGTAAGAACACTTTCACACGAATAAGCCTCAATGAATACGTCTTAAATTTTTTAACTTTATTTAAAGCCCAGCTTTTTGCCCAGACTCGAGGCAGATGAGAACTACTTCGAAGCAGACACCTTTAGGATAGCTGTAGACCCTGGGAGCTGGGAGGACTTCAGTGTTCCCCCTAAGCTAAGTTAGTGTGAGCTAGCTCACAGTTTTTTAGCCTCCGGCTCACACATTTTTGCCTTAGCTCAGGAAGGATGGCTCCAGAGCAAACTAATTTATGCAGTAGCCAAATCGCTTGCTCACAACTTTAATGCCGGTAGCTCACAAAGTAGAATTTTTGCTCACAAGACTCCAAGGCTTAGAGGGAACTCTGCTCCTGGCTCACGAGGAAGCCAGATTCTAGATCCCACTTTCTTTCTAGGCGGGCACTGCTTATCTGTAAGGCAACCGGGAGTGCCTCTGTGCGCGTGCAGAGGAACCACTGCCTAGATCTGGAGATCTCTCGCGAAATGGCTTCCCGTCCTCGGAGACTGCTGGCACATGGCCTCGTTTTGAGAAATTTATAGGAGATTCTTGGGTGTGCTGCGTGTGGGCGGAAGGGAAGGGGAAAAGAGAAGACGTAAATAGGAAATCTAGCAGTACAGCCTGGAGCCAGGAGGCTCGGGAGACAGGAACGTGGCTTCCCAAAGGACTCGGGAGCAAAGACATCTCAATTAGGGCCAGAGGTCTGTAAGGGGAAGGTTTTGGGAGAGGGCTGGAGGGTGCCGGATGTGCATTCTTGCCAAGGCGGAACGGGGCTAGGTCTCAACAGGAAACTTTTTAAGGAGAAAAGAAAAGTGGAACACAGACACACAAGGACCATTTCTGGAGGTATCGCAAAAGAGCCAAGACCTGTCTAAATGCATTCGCCAAACACAGACATGCAATTAGATTCAGGTGGGCGGCCATGTTGGTCCGAAGCAACAGGACAAAGTTTGGGTCCAGCGGCACCTTTAAGGCCAACAAAGTTCAATTCTGGGTAGAAGCTTTTGTATGCATGCACACTGGTCTCAAAGGCGTCACCGGACTCAAACCTTGTTCTACAGAGATGCAGTGAACACATGAGAGAGATTTTTCCAAAGCAAAGGGCCAGGGCAATGTAGCGGACAGCGTGTCAGGCTAGAATCCGGGAAACCCGGGTTCGAATCCTCCCTCTAGCACGGAAGCATGCTGGGTCGCTTGGGCTAGTGACACACAAGACTCTCCCACAGAGTTGTAGTGAGGATAAAATGGAAGGGGGAAAAACAATGTCGTAAGCCAGTTCAGGTCTCTATTGGGTGTAGTGGTTAGAGCATTATACCACGCTCTGGGCGATTCCAGGTTCAAATCCCCACCCTGCTACGAAAGCTCACTAGGTGATGTTCAATTCAGGTGGGTAGCCACGTTGGTCCCGAAGCAAAAGAACAAGGTTTGAGTCCAGTGGCACCTTTGAGATCAACAAAGTTTAAGTCTGGGCAGAAGCTTTTGTGCACATGCACACTTCTTCAGGTGATGTTAGGCCAATCGGACTCTCAAACTAACCTACTTCCAGTAGTGTGGGCCAGCTCACCGTTTTCTAGCCTCCGGCTCACAGATTTTTGTCTCAGCTCGGGAAGGGAGGGCTCCAAAGCAAACTAATTTATGCAGCAGCCAAATCACTGACTCAGAACTTTAATGCCAGTAGTAGCTCGCCAAGTAGAATTTTTGCTCACAAGACTCCACTGCTTAGAGGGAGCATTGCCCAACTTTGTTGGTCTTAAAAGGTGCCACTGGACTCCAACTTTGCTCTGTTGCTTCAAACCAACACGGCTACCCACCTGAAGACGTGTGCATGGGATTCACAGCCACAGGAGGTGGCGGCGGCTACAAGCATGGACGGCTTCAAGAAGGAACTGGATAAGCATATGGAGCAGAGGTCCATCCGTGGCTATTAGCCACAAGGTATAGCTAGGAGCTCTCGATCTGGGGGCAAGGGATGCGCTCTGCATTCTTGGTGCTTTGGGGGGGGTCAACAGTGGGAGGGCTTCTAATGTCCTGGCCCCACTGGTGGACCTCCTGATGGCACCTGGTATTTTTGGACACTGTGCGACACAGAGTGTTGGACTGGATGGGCCATTGGACTGATTCAACATTGGCTTCTCTTATGTTCTTATGGATAAGCATATGGAGCAGGGGTCCATCAGTGGCTCTTAGCCACAAGGTGTAGATAGGAACTCTCGGTCTGGGGCAAGGGGTGCTCTGTCTTCTTGGTGCCTGTGGGGGGGGGGCCAACGGGGGGGGGGCTTCTAATGTCCTGGCCCCCCTGGCACCTGGTATTTTTGGACACTGTGCGACACAGAGTGTTGGACTGGATGGGCCATTGGACTGATTCAACATTGGCTTCTCTTATGTTCTTATGGATAAGCATATGGAGCAGGGGTCCATCAGTGGCTCTTAGCCACAAGGTGTAGATAGGAACTCTCGGTCTGGGGCAAGGGGTGCTCTGTCTTCTTGGTGCCTGTGGGGGGGGGTCAACAGTGGGAGGGCTTCTAGAGTCCTGGCCCTACTGGTGGACCTCCTGATGGCACCTGGTATTTTTGGCCACTGTGCAACACAGAGTGTTGGACTGGATGGGCCACTGGCCTGATCCGACATTGGCTTCTCTTATGTTCATGCACAGGAGAGCTCGCACCCAGAATTCAACTCGGTTGCCCTTAAAGGCGCCCCTGGACTCGAACTCTGGTCCTGTTGGCTCAGACAAGCAGGACGACCCAGCGGACCTAAGCTTAATGCTGCAGAATAAGAACAAGAAGGTACACAAAAGAAGATGGGAAAAAAAAAATGTATAAATGGATAGAGGAACAGACTAGAACCTAGTATCCCTAACCTGTATCTGAAACACTATGAAAAAAATGACTCTGAGATGTATGCAAACGAAGTCGATGCAATGTATGTAAGTTACTTTTAGCAAAAATAAAAAACTTAAACTTAAGAAAAAACACAAACACTCTCCCGCAGGCCAGGCCCATGGCGCCACCGCAAAAGGGACCTGCTCCCGAGTAGACCTCCCCTGGGCCCGCCCCCCCTCGGCCACTGACCTGGAAGATGAGCACCTTGAAGTGGTTGCGTCGGAGGAGCTGCGCGTGGTTGTGCTCCAGCCGCTTGACCTGGGCGCACTGGCGGTCCATGCGGTCGCGGACCTCGCGCGTGTGGGCGCTGACCTTGCGCGACTTCTCCAGCAGCTTGGCCACCGTGTTGCTGGTGGAGGCGTGGCTCTTGCACAGCTTGCCCAGGTCGCCCTGCACCCCCTTGACGGCCGCCTCCAGCTCCGCCTGCCGCCCCTCCATCCGCTGCTGCTTCTCCTGCACCGACTCCAGCATGTGCACCAGCTTGTCCAGCAGCGTCAGCACCGTGATGGCGTTCACCTGCGCCCCCCCCGCTTCCCCCGACGCCGCCCCGCCGCCCCCCGACCCCGGCTGCAGGCTGGGGCTGCGGCTCCCCGACGGCACCGGGCTGGGGCTGCCGCGCTCCGGGGGGTGCAGTGGCTGCTCACTCGCTCGGCCGCCGCTCCAACTTTGGGGCGCCTCCCTCGCCGCTCTCGCCCTTTATGCGCGGAATGTCATATTTCACTTATGACTTCATTGGCCGGGCGGGGAGGAAGGGGGGGACCCGGGCCGGCTCGGCTCCGCTCCGAGGGCCGCCCACTGGCTGGCTGGAGGCGGGCGCAGGGTTGGGGAACTCCCCTCCCCGGGCGCTTTGCCTGGATTAGAACTAGGGAGGGGACATCACTACCATGTTAACTGTTTGGTTTTGAGAAATAAGAGAAGAAGACAGCCTAACCACAGATGAAGC